TGCCGAACCAGGTCTTGTGTCCCTGAATATAGTTAGTAATGATGTTGCACTCAATTCAACCCAGTGCGAACTTACAAGGACGAGACGGCCCATCATGTACATGCTGGCGCCGAGGCTGCTGAACATGATAACCTTGAAGCCGGGAACCAGGTACTTTCCACGGGCCTAAGAAGCAATCTGTCAGCATTTATCCCTGTGTTTTCTCACTTCCACACGCCATGTGTCCAGCACCGCATGCGCATCATCTCTAACCACATCATGCCCCCATCAACCCTCCTCTTGTGTATTCAGTACGCACCTTCTCCCAGGTCCTCAGTCCGTCGTGCTTCTGGAACTCGCGTTGCCAGTAAGGCACCTTGTTCTCGCGCATAACCCAGCTGCCGACTGTCAGTATCCAGCTCTGTGCGGAAAGGCGGAGGAGCACTGGAGGCCGTCGCGGTGCTCCCTCAGGCCTGCAGCCAGGCCCAAAGCTCGAGGATGGACGTACCCAGGCATTTTGAAGAGTGTAGAGGAGTATTGCGCGGCGTGCGGGGGCAATTGGTGGTTTCGTGGATTGGTCAGTTTGGTGATGTCGCGAGGTCGAATGATCCGCCGGCGAAAGCAAGTCGGCCGCCAAGGCCCTTGGCCGCTTTGGGCGCAACAACTTTCCGCATGCTCAGTTCACGCACGACGATTGCGACGCCAATGGATTGATTTCGCCCTCCGCCCCTGTCTCGTTGATGCCACCGGCTCTGGACAGGCTCCTCGCCAGCCCGTCAGCCCTGCGACTCCTTCGCTCCGTCGTCAATGCCCCCGAACTCCCCGCAGCCTGTTCCGCGGCAACAAAATGCTGCCCGCCAGTAGCACGCCGCCGCAACTACTCCACCCAGCCGAAACCGCAACCCAAGCTGAAATGGAGGCGAATGAAGGATGCAAGCGAAGACGCGGCAGTCCGAGACCACGTGCTCAAGGCACTCCAGCGTGACGAGTCCAACGATACCCTCGTCCCGACCGTAGATATCTTTGAAAACGACGTCGCACGTGTAGCGGAAAGGGAAGACGATCCTGCACAACTCGCCGCTATCCTTGCAAGCGAAGAGAGACTGCACGGGAAAAAGGGTGTCCGCAATGTCTGGCAGAACTTCCGCCATCGAGGGTACCGCCTGCCCACTGAAGACTCACCCGATGCCGCATTCTTATGGGGAACTTTTGTGAAGAACCACCTGATCGCGGACAAGGCGATAGAGCACGCTGAGGAGCTGCTCCATGAAACAGGCAGGACATACCCTGGTCTGTACTATCTGGTCATGAGCCACTGGCTTCCGAGGAGAACAGCGCCCGCGTTGAGGTATCACTACGCGATACAAAAGAGCCTGAAGCCCCAGCGGCTTCCCCTACGGCAGCTGGCACATCAGGGGCGATCCACTTACAAGCACGGCGCATACGAAGCATTGATGGAGATATACGAGCACAGCAATGAGCGGGACCTCTACGACGAGGTGGTGCCGGCGCTCATTGAGAAGGATGACATAACTGCGGCACGCCGATGGCATGCACTTTGCACTCTTCGCAACGATATGCCGTCCGAGTCTGTCGCGTCACATCCTCTCGTCCAGCTGTTTACCGTTGAGGATTCAGCTCGTGAGGTCTACTTTGACACGAAAGGGTCGACGAAGAAGTGGAGGCGGGGTGCAGCAAAATACAATGAGAACCTTCTGCGCCGCTTGGAAGGCCCCGATACAGCGCCCGTCCGATTCGAAGACTCGTTCGTCGCCCGCATGTTCGCAACGCGTACCTTTCCACCGGCTTCCATCATACAAGGTCTCTCTATGGTGGGCATCAACGAGATTGGGCCTCAAGCTGTGCTCACCATGGCACTGCAAACACAACCGGTGGAGGAGCTACCTATGAGGTTCGAAGAGCTCAGGCAAGCAGGCATTGCCCTGCAGGGCTGCGTCTTCTCTTTGGCACTGGAGACGTTCGCAATGGAGCAGAAGTGGCAACTGGTGCGCAGTATGCTGCAAAGCGACCAGCATCCGGACGTCTTTGGCGACGTGGAAATGCAACGCAAGCTGCTCGAGCACTATCTTGACAACGACGATTATGCGCAGGTCCAGCGCACACTTGCCATTCTAACGCTCTTCCACAATGACTCTAGTCAAGAGTCTTGGAACCTGCTCTTGCAAGTCTACATTAAACGCTCTGGACAGAAGCATGTCGTGGAAGTGCTCCAAGACATGCGTGCTCGCGGCATCATGGTGTCGCCTGAATCAATCATGGCCATTCGCAGCCTATTGCGTCGTCGGCAACGAGGACACAAGCCTGTCAGTGACCGATTCGATGACTTGCGTTTCGTCGCGCGTGTATTCGTCATGATCCTAGAGAACGGTCTAGCCCCCATCTCTCCACTCCAATGGCGCGAGATCGTACGCAGATTTGGCATGGTTGGAAGGTTTAGGGAGCTTAGAAGACTTTTACTCTGGCTTCTTTGCTGGTATGCACCGAGAAGCAGTTACCAGTTCAGCACGTTGCCAAAATCACCATTTCTCGAACCGGCAACAGCGAAACTGCGTGCTGCATACCCTGAACGATATCACTACTTTCACTTCCCAACGACGGTCACACAGCGCGAGAATCCGTTGCACCCCGTTCGACGACTGTTCGCCCCCTCCCTTCAGCAAAGTCTCATCATCTGGGGCTTCAAAGCTGGACTCCTGCCAAACGCACCTCTCGAACAGTCCATGCTGGGCCCGACGCTAGCCAAGAAGCATTACCGTCGTCGGTTGCTGCAGCGCCGGATGCTACGCCGATTAGAGTGGAGCGCAGGTCTACGGATCCTTGTGCATCTACGAAATCTCGGCGTCTTTGTTCACTACCATACCGTACTCAAAGCCTTGCAGTCGCAGTTCATAAACATGTTTGGCCATGGTCGCTCCAAAAAGAGAGAAAATAGAGTGGTGGAGAGGTCCAACACGCTCCCCTATGCGCGATACGTTCACGAGGTCAACAAGATATGGGGCAGTCCGCTACTGCGGGAGCCTCAACTCTTCGGCAAGGGCATGGTGCATGATCACATGTGGCACCCACGTATGAGACGGAACATCAAGCGCAGAGCTTCCATCAGCCTTGGTGAGATTCTGGGCCCGAACTGGAGGGATCGCGACCAGGAAAGCCACACGGCTGTCAAGCAAGACGACAATGCGGCCATAGCACAGCTGCAGAAACACTTCAAGAAGCAGGCCAAAGCCATCGAACCCGGTTCTGAGCCGCAGCCCTCTTCTACCACAGTCGTCCCGCGCGTCCAAATCGACAACGGTAAGGAGTGATGAAGCGGCCCTTACGCCGGCGACTAAGAATAACGAGCTGAAGGCCTGGCCTCGCCATGATACGTAAAGAATATACAACAGTAACTTTTTATCGCTTACTTAGATCCCGGATCTGGACTAATGCTTTCGATGATTCGCCATACCTTGCTCACAATTTTCTTCCACTACTCTAACATTGCGCAAAATAACTGCCGCAGTTCTTCAAGCTGTATGGATTCAGAAGTCCGAAGAGACGGAACGGGTGGAGGTGCGGGCGCGTGGAGCCGTCGCTTGGGTGAAAGCGGGAGGCGCTAGTACACGCCTCATGAAGACTACAGGACCTCAGCTTCACACACACCCACCTTCGTTCTCGACATGGATCGTTTCCGCGCACCACTGGCTGAAATGCTACCCATGCATTACTCACCGCTACTCTCCAGGTACGGCAGTAGCTAGATCAGACCACGCGGGAATGCTGCTCGTGTGGCCGTAAACAGGTCTTTCATCCCGCGTTTTCAGCCTTCTCAGCTCTCATAACTCGAGCAGTGGCTGATAATCGCCAGCCTTTCGTTCGCCAGACTGATTACTACCCTATTGAATAGCTTTGGCTTGAGATCACCGCTTTTCAAAACACAATGCTGAGGATCTAGTCGGCTACTATCCTGTCATCAAGCGCTTTCCCGGCGCGCGCTGTCACCGTGGATACATTCGCTATCTCAGCCTCCCGGCACGATCCTGAGAATATGCGCCAGGGCTGAAGACTCGAATATGCAGTGTAACATTAGAACTTTGCAGCTGGATTCGATGATCACCCACAAGGCTACGAAGGCTTTCACAAACCTCTGTTACTCGTTCTTATGCCATACCACACTCCGTACGCGCCGTGCGTGAACAGCATGCACGCACATGCCTCCCACCGAGCTTGAATGCCCATCCAATCATGCCCTAGATGGCAATGTTATCGGCATCTGCCATCGCTCATTTCTACCGGAATGGTCATGGAACCTGCCTGATGCACTCGCCCGCTCTAGGCTCCTTGTAGAGTGTCATTCCCAACATGCAGAGCATTTGACCAGGGGGGTTGGCATTCTGCCTTGGATAAAGATGATAAGAGCTGTTGGACTACCCATTCGCCCACTGTGCACATTTGAAGCTAAACACCCAAACTTCGGAGCCAGTATTTTGTAGTTTTTTTCAAGATGAGCGCCTCCAACCACGAATCGAGGACCGGAACGGGAGAAAAGCCACCTGAGCATGAAACGTATCACTATAGACCTCTACCACGCAGGCAAGGGGCTATACGAATATTGCAACTCTTACCCAGTCCTAGTCTCGATGCGCAAATCCAGTGTAAACTGATCACGCCGGTTGGAGATGAGACGCCGCCGTATGAGGCTTTATCGTGGTGTTGGGGCACCGCAGGCAAGACCGACTACATCGGAATTTACCGGGATGGGACGCTACACATGAAAACTGTGAGCCCAAATCTTGTGGCGGCCATGAAGGCACTTCGCTATGGGTATCATAGCCGCTACCTCTGGATTGACATGGTTTGCATCGATCAAGATGAGTACGTTTGGCTATTCTACGAGGTAGGGTTAGACTGACCCCCGTAGTCTGCACGAGAAGAACCACCAGGTCGAGATGATGAACATTATCTATGGAAATGCTTCTCGGGTTTGCATATGGCTTGGTCCAGCAACCGAATCCAGTACTATGGCACTGAGCTTCATCAAGCACGAGGTTCTGAACCTGCAAAGCTTCGACACACTTTGTGACAGCAAAGATGCTAGCAGGAAATGGATTGCTCTACTGGACCTGATGCAACGACCTTGGTTTTCTCGACGTTGGGTCGTTCAAGAACTGGCGCTAGCGCGAAAGCCTATCATCTACTGTGGAACCGACAGAATTTCGTGGAAGAAGTTCGCTATCGCAGTCGAGCTCTTTGTAGAGGTGGAGACAGCCACGCATCGTCTGTCTGAAGTCATGAGGAAAGATAGACAGGATCAGTACATTCCCAGCTACTTCGACTACGTCTCCGCACTTGGTGCAAGCTTGCTCGTTGATGCTACTGAACGGTTATTTCGGGATTGGAAAAAAGTCGAAGTACGCCACCCCAAGATGTTCACCGACACGAGACCCTACTCAGCAACTGATTCAGAGAGCGACAGCGAGACCGAGAGTATTAAAAGCGAAGACAGCGATTCACATACACCCCCTGAGACGTACGACGACTTCGGTGATTCGAGGAATCATATACAACCTCTGTTGAGTCTGGAATATCTAGTGTCAAGTCTGACTATCTTCGATACTACCATACCTCACGACACAATCTATGCGCTGCTTGCGATCGCAAGAGACACCACACCGCGTGCTGTGAGTAGCCGCGCCATTGATGCATCGAGAAGCGCCCAGGAAAGTCTCGAGGTATACACGCAACGCAAAAGCTATAACGTCAACTACATGTTACCATATGTAGATGTTTGCAAAGAGTTCATCCAGTTTTCCATCGAGCGTTCTATGATTGGGAACTCGAGTCGCGCGTTGGATGTTATCTGTCGTCCGTGGGCAATAGAGGGGAGGAAACTCCAGCAGAATCGGGAAGCAAAACAAAGGCATCAGAAGAAGGAAAGAAGGAGGAAGAAGAAAGAAGCTAAACTCAAAGAACTACGACAAGCCTCTGTAACGCATCCATCCTCTCAACCTGGAGCTGCTACTTCAACAGTCACGGTGACGCCTGTGGAAGTAGCCGCCCGCAAAGCAGCGTCTCTAAAAGCCGCCCAGGAAGCCGCTTTTAGACTTGAAGACATAAGACTACCTTCCTGGGTACCTCAACTCTCAAACGCGCCGTTTGCCATGGATCAAAGGCCTGGAACAAGCGGCCCCAAAATGAGTCGCATAAATGCCGATCATCTGGTGGGTCTTCCTAGTTCTACGCACCGCAACTACTCTGCCGCCGAAAGCAGAGGCGTAGACATGAAAGCGCTCCGATTTCGGAAGCGTCCGGAAGCACAGCAGTACAGTATGTATGTACGTGGCTTCAAGCTCGACGTTATCGAAGAGGTCACACAGGTGGCTCGTAACGGGCAAGTCCCAAAACAATGGGCTGATCTTGTGGATTGGAAAGATGCCGAAAAGCTTCCGCCTGATCCGTTTTGGCGAACGCTTGTCGCCAACCGCGGAAAGGATGGTAAGAACCCACCCGTGTACTACTCGCGGGCTTGCCAAGAATCTTTCAGGAAGGGCGGTCTTGGAAGTGGCGCCATTGATACTACTGCACTCATTGAGTACGAACGCAACTCCGTTGTCGCTCAATTTTGTCGACGTGTGCAAGCCGTCACCTGGAATCGCGCACTTGTACGTACCAAGACGCGGAAGCTGGGTATAGTCGGCAAAGATGTTCAGAAGGGCGACCTCGTCTGTATACTATATGGATGCAGCGTTCCTGTCGTATTGCGGGAAAGCTCCGAGAAGTCTATAGAGCAGTTCGACGAGGAAATGAATCACGAGCTAGAGCACATCAAGAATACTGTAGTCAAGACTCTGAAGCAGTACATTGCACGCAAACGACAGCGGCAAAGATGGAAAGACAAAGAAATGGCTAAACTCTGCCGGAAATGGCTCAAAACTACCGACTACATGCGCAGCCACGGCTTTGACCCTGCCAAAAGGACGGTCACAGACAACCAAAGCATCAGTGGCGTCCTTCTACGCATCTTGACGCATGCCACAGCCGAATTCAAATCCTGGCGTATCGAAGAGCGCAAGAAAGCGTGGAGCCGCATCGAAGAGGAGATGAAGGAGCGGAAGGAATGTCCGACAAAGAGAATGAAAAGACCAGGCAAAGAACAGATGGACGATCATTTAAGGAAGCAGATGAACAAGCAAGAAGCGGAAGCGGCAGCCCGCACGGTACAAGCACAGAGGAAATCGAAATCTGCTGCGAAATTGCCTCAATCTGCTTCTGGTGCAGCTGTGGCTACTGGAGGTACTGGTTCGACGGCTTCCAAAGAGGTCTTCCCAATAGACTGGTGGGAATTCGAACTTGCGCTTGTCGCTGGACGATGTTGGAAGCAGGTCGTCATTCAAAAAAAGAATGATCGTGAACAACAACTGAGACAACAGCTGCTTGAAGAGTATCAGGTTCTCAAGGATCAGTACGAGACGAACAGACGCGACGAGATAACCCGACGCAACGAGATGACTAGACGCGGTATGTTCGGGCGGGTGCTGAGTTTTGCGGAGTCTCTTCGTGTGAGTGTTATACAAAGCTTCCCAGGTTGGGACATCACACCAATCAACCACACCGAACAACAGAATGATTTCGAGGAACCTGATATCACCGAAGAACAGAATGATATCGAGGGATGAGATACCACCGAAGAATACCACGACATCGAGGACCCAAATGCCACCGAAGAACACGATCAGAAGATGAGTCATCAGACTAGAAACAGAGGCGATCACGAAACGGGTACACCAGGAACAATAGTGCCTAGATGGCGCCATCGATTGAACAATACCAGGTTGACGGACGATGAGGCCAAGGAATACGGTAAGACAGTCCGGGATAATCTGCGCGACAGGCTCGGCAAAGAAGGGTACTACTCTTACACCTTTCTCGGCGAATGCTACATTCATGGCATGATGGACGGCGAGGCGATCCAGTACCAAAGTGAAGATGTAAACCAAAGTGAAGATGCAAAGGGAGTCATTCCTTCGATGGTTTTTGAGATTCGTTAATGATCAGCGCTTTATTCCGTGTAGCGAATATGATTCTGTGTTGTCTCAAAGCTCGATGCGAATTTGCTAAACGTGGGTGTGCGACCGCGTAGTTAGATGGTTCGCCCGAATTATGAGAAATCGCGTCCTCACGTGCATGCGCGTGGTCACTAGCTTAATTGGGCCACGTTTCAGGAGCCTGACGCGTCAGCCCCACTTCCGCGTTGCCGAGGAAATGCCAGGTCGTTTTCTCGTCATACTCCCCTTGTTGTAGCGGCACCACGCCTCAATTCTTCACACCTCACACCTCAATTCCCCTCAATTGAACTCAAAAACCTTACAAGAACTCATCGGAATCATGGTTGCCCACTGCGCGCTATGCCCTGACGAAGGCAAGCTCAGATGTGTCGCCTGCAATGGAATCCAGTACTGCTCCAAGCGGTGCCAAAAGGCCGATTGGAAAGTTCACAAGCTCATCTGCAAGTCCTTCAGCGAGCACATGAACAACCGTCCCAGTCAAAAGCACTACAGCATCATTGTCTTCCCGAAAGATGAAGAGGCGCCTCGCTTCGAGTGGACTCTGTTCGAGCCTGGCACCTACAACGCCAAGATCCCGTCACCCAAGAAAGCCTACGTGCAAGAGCTGGGCTTCGAGTTTTATGGGGTAAATTGCAACAATCGCAACAACCCCATAGGATACTTTGAGGAAGACAGCACCGATTACACGACTAAGAGGCACATCGCTGGAAAGCATCTCGGATTGCTCTTTACGAGAAACCTGGGATCTTTCGAAGAGCCTCTGCCGGAGGATATACCAATCAGTTCGTCAATATCTTTGTACAAGTCGCACGAGAAATGTACTGACTCAATACAGACAAGAGCTTGATGGACATCGATCCTGAGCTTGCGCGACTCCACGGCAAAGGTCACGTCCTTGCCTGGGGCTGTCATTGTCCCGAAGACAGACGCAAAACCTCCGATCTCAACTGCACACCGGCAGACTTCCGTCACGCTGTGGACGCCCTGAGAAAGAACCACTACAAAGATAGCTTGCGAGCGAAGGAGGTCATATCGAGGAAGACGGGTGGTGTCCTTGCCGTGCGCCTCACTTGCGTGGGCGACAAGCTATTCTTCGGCCATCCTACATATGAGAGCCAGATCGAGCCGCGCTCCATCCTGAGCAAAGATTCTCAGGTCCCCTGCCCAGTCGCCGATAAAGTCGGCATTCCATTGATCATCCGGAAAGAGCCCCCTGCGCTCTCCTGGCGCGACCGCGACGTCGAGTCCCGTCGGGAGAACCACAACGCGGCGATGCTCAACCCGCCTACCCAGAAGACTAAGACCGGCACTCTGATCATTGCTCGCAAGGACGGCAAGCCGCTGTTGCCTACGCACCTCTTCTGCCTCATCATCTACACTGGCGAGAGGCTGCAAGACCCGAAGTACGGTGAGGACGGCCACCGTCTACCGAGTATGATGTTGCAGAGCCGTTTGAACCTGGTGTCTCCGGAGGACTTTGAGGAGTACTATAACAACGAGTGGCATCGTTTGAAGCTTAGTGAGAGGTTCGTCCCATCGCCTTATCAGATGTATGATGACTATGATGGCGAGATTCATCCTATCAATATGAGATAGGTTGGGATGGAAAGGGGAGAAGCATTGGCTTGTTGATGAGATATAGCGATGTGTGGAAGTACCTAGTTGCAATGTGGAGGTACTGAATGTACTCTGTTATATTCAGCTAGATAGCGTCACCCAAATCAACTTACGTTCCGTAGCTACAATTCGCTCTTATGCGACACCTCCCTACTGACACCGTCGCCCTCTTTCCCGCCACCACTCCCAGCCAGCCTGACAGCAATAGTAGGTTTATGTACCAGCGTCTGCAGCACCACACAATACCTCTCTGTCAACTTGCCCAGCTTCTCGATCTCTTCCTCGGTGACCTCCCTGCCGTCTTCCCTCTCTCCAAACTTGACCGCAAACTCCAACCGTATGCCTGTTATGCCGACGGGAGCCGTCCTGTCTACGCCCAGTGTGCCTTTGAAATCCAAATCCCCTTCTGCGGTGACGGTGCCGGAGGCGATGGGTATACCGAGGGCGGTAGCGACGGCTTTTAGGGTGACGCCTGAGCAGGCTACGAGGGCGTCGAGAAGCATGTCTAATTGACGGCGCATCAAGTCAGCACGTGTATCACGTATAATTCCGATAGAGACATTGCTTACCACCAGAGCATAGTTCGCCGGATATCGCTGGGTCGTCACCGCCAGCCTTTTGGTGCAGACCGGCTACCCTATGCGCTTCCTTCACAGCTGAGCTATCGGACAGCTTGCATGTTATCGAATGGTCGTCGAGCGAGCCCGTGGATTTGAGGGTGACAATGGCGGAAGAAGGGTCGCTGCGGTACCCGTCCTTGATCGGGGCTTGCTTTTGGCGGAGCGCTTGAGCGGCGGACATGTTTGCGATGAATTGAATGCGAGGACGGTGTGTCGAGAGACGCGAACTTTTGTATCCAATTTGAACACCTAGAACTTTCTCAGAGGCTCAAAAGTCGTCGTTAGCCTATACATCATTATGAAGTGTACCCCGCAAGGGGCAGGTGGGAGCTCCGCAGCCCCGCTTCGCCGCTGGTGCGAACGATCAAACAGGAAGGAGGGGTGGCTCGGTCGAGATGCTGCCCAGAGATGTCATGTCGAGAGCTTAGAATCGTATGCTGATGAACACGTTTGAGATGGGAGAGACGAAGGATACCAGCTGCGACCTGCGCGAGTTGGATTTGCCATGGAAACGTGCAGACACGCGATAAGATAAGCGTCAGGGGTCCAGCGCGTGTGCGGCACGCGTCTTCGCTCCACTTCAACGTCATTTCTCGTCACGTCTCTTGCCTTCATACGATCCACATTGTGATCGCGTCCTTTCTTCCGCGTACAGTTACCCTCCACCTCGAGCATGAATTAGTGCAGACCACGTTTCTCTGCTACAGGCTCGTCACGGTTGGGACCACGGCTATCGCATTGCTATTGGTCCACGGCTACAGCTTTCCATGCTGAGTGCATATAAGTCAACCGTAAGCCCTTTCGCCTGTCTTAAAATCTCGCAGAGATCTGGTAAGCGCGCGGTTCACAGCATGCAAAGCCCAACCGAGAGACCGCTACAGTGGCGTATATGTGCAACACACTAACCGGACAGCGCGTAGCTGTGGTATGGCGGTGGAGAGACACCAGCGGACGATCTAACATAGTACTCAGCTCAGACTCACGATACCCATTCGCGCGTCTCCATTCTTAGCGCTGCGATCTCCACGTCGACATACTAGCTATCCTACTCCCGCGCAACCGCACTTGCACCCACGCGCTCAGCATGGCTCACTTTGCCGACCTTCCTGCTGAGCTCGAGCTCCGAATCGCGTCACATCTCTCCTCCAAAGATCTCGCCTCCTATGCGCGCATCGGCAAAGTTCAAGCCAAGGTCGCACGCGAGCATCTCTACTTCGCACCGACGATCGAACAACCAGATGAGGGGCATCGGCTAATGATGCTGCTACGCACATTGTTCGCCCGCCCTGAGCTCCTCAAAAGCATACAATCGATATCGCTCGCTATCGTGAACTGTACTATGCCTTTCGACGTCTGTTCGACAGCAGAAGAGGCCGAAGCTACACGTGTCGACTGGGACACGACTCACAATGCCCGTTATGTTGAAGTCGATAGGATTGTCGACAGCCCTTATTGTTTGGAATACAAGGACGTGTATGAGCAACTCGTCTTCCACCTCAAGAAAGTCATGGGAGATCATGATTCCGAGAGGTGTTGGTTTTCGCATATCGTGCAATGGCGCTCTGCAGCTCTCTACGGCGGATTACTCCGAATCCTGCCTAATCTAGGGCGACTGGAGCTTGAATGCTACACCAAGCTACATGATGGAATATACCTGCCTACAGATCAGAGCGATCACACGTCGTTTTCGCAAAGGCTCTTTGCTTCCACGCCGTGGCGCACAGGTTCGGTGCGTTTTCCATTGTTGAGCGAGCTACATGTCAAGTGCGGACTCTTGATCAATAGCACTCATCTGTTACCCAACCTGAGGACATTGAAAGCTGGTGAGCTCGCCGATGTCCCCCAACATAACGTTCCGTCCCAAGTACGCTTACACCATTTATCTGCTTGCGTTTCCCTGTGGCGAAGAAAAGATCCGTGTTGGGCGACTCCTCGAATATATCGCCTTGATGGTGGTGCCATGTTAGAAGTACAAAACATCAATTTACGCTTCCGGACAGTGGCCAGCGGCAGTATTGAAGGTCCCTTCCGATACGGCCCTATCCGTTCTCTTGCTCAGATATTGGAACGTCTACGTGTGTCTAAGTCAGTTCTAGAGACGCTATCCGTAGAACCCATCGACCATAGCGAACTCCTACACTGTCGATTTCCAGTTAATCCTGATGGGTTGATATCGGACTTCAGCATCTTTACCCGCCTACGAGAGCTTACTTTGCCCTTTCGACCATCTACAGATACTTTGGAGGATAAACTACCTCCAAGTCTGGAAAAGCTTAGTCTGCTGTGCACCAGAGCAGTTTCTCCAACCTCGGTCGAACATACCCTTCAACACCGGCTCAAGTACGGCAGCTTCTCGCGTCTCGATCTTTTCCTCTTGTCTGAGGCCCACGTGAACATCAATCACAAAGCCTGGGGTACGTTCAAGAAAGCTGGTGTGCCTGTGTATATCTGGGTGCGGCAGTCTGTGCTTCTGTGTGAAATGCCTGTGTAGGCCAGGAGGGCTTGGGGAACGGCATTGACATTTTCTGATGAATCCACAGAAAACTTGGCAGATCGTATGAGGAGCGATCATATTGATGCAAATCTGGACATGGATGTGGGACCATGGCGAACGCTAAGAGACTAAGGGAGTAAGCGCGTCTTCACGTGATCTGGGGCTGCTCTCCCTCAGGGCAGCACCTTCTAAGTCTGGGCCACACCACTCAGCAAACACGCCGACCCAGTGAGTGTCAACATATTCTGAGTTTCTGCTTCTTCTAACAACGCCATCATTGCAGCTTAGGGTTACTGTACGGCCGACTGCAGTGCCTGCAGCCAAGTCTCTGGTCGCGCTCTTTCACCTCTGGGCCGCGACTACCGCCTAACAGTATGTGCACGAAGCAGCGCGCGACTATCTTTTCGCTGCGACTTGCTCTCGCTATCATCCAAATTTTCGGCAGCCCGAGTCCCTCTCCATCGCTTATCTATCCACGAAAACCGTCTAGCTGGACAGCGCCCTTTCCAATCCACTTCGGTATCTTCGCACATTGAGGTATCACGAGCTTCGCAGTCAGCATGTCTCACGCTAGCCCCAATACGCCAGGAAGCACCATCGGAGGCCAGTCATTCAACTTCGTTGCTCTTCCACTCGAAGTCAAGGAGCTCATATACAAGCACGCCCTGTTCGCTGGTGGCCATCTCAGGAGCAAACTCTACGTTCCTACCGACATCTCCGGCAGGAACGCACTTCAGGAATCTTTCCCAGCGATTTGTTTCACCAACAGGCTCGAGCGCATCATCGCTTCCCGACTCTACCTGCGATACCAAACAATCTTCATGTACAACAGTAATGACTCACCAGTTCTTGAAGCTTTCCTATCACAGTTCGGAGAAGCCAATGAAGGACTACGATGGTTGAAACATGTTCAATTTGCCTATTACGGAGACTTCTGTAACGACTTCAGCAAAGCTATACCTTTGATCAAGGTGTGCACCGCGCTAAAGACAGTTGTATTCAAGATAGTCTCACCACATCTTTACGGATGGTCGAAACGCGGACCGACAGGGAAGAAACTTAGCACCGGTGCTGAGATCTTCGAGCGTCTGCATCTACATGGCTTGGCCGACTGTGGTCATTTGACCAAGGTTCGATTCAACGTGTTCAGGGGTCGTCGTGTGGAACTGGAGGGCTTGAAGGATTTGATCCAGGACTTTTCATGTGCCTTTCTGGCGCTGCACGGATTGACAGCTTTCAAAAAATTCGATGTCGGTATTGAGGATGAGCATGGTCTGATATGGGTGCTGGAGCCGTAGGTATGAGAGAAAATGTACGGACATGGCGCGGTAAAGTAATTATTAGGGGGCCTTTTGCTGCACGCGATTACGACTTCACAAGAGCAGTGGGTGGGTATAATAGTGAGGGCTGGGGTATACATTGATGTGCGTCACAATACAACCAACGCAGATGTGGGTTATTGAGGTCGACGTGAAGCTGGGTGAAGGTGAAGGCGAGGTACAATAAGATCCCTGTCTTTTTTTCGGCGCGATTCAGGACCTACCAGTGTGTAGGCCCTTGATTGCGAGTAATACGATGTTTAGAGTCTGAGCTTAAAGACAAATTATGTATCATTAGGAATCTCATTTCATCTTTCCTAGTGGCGAGTGCTTACACACTCTGCAGTGCATGCCCGTGTCGATTTGACAGTCATATGAAAGAACGCCTGGGGGGCTAAGGCCGAGAAAGACCAAGCTCGATACGCCACCTACTCGCCGTGCAGCGTGTCGAAGTAGCAGTCGACAGACTTGATCTTGTTCTGTCCATTGCCGTTAGTTTATATGTCCTTGTCAAAAGAGGCTAAATATCTAGTGCACTCACATCCAATTCGATAGTAGCAAGATTTGCAATGGATTCGCGGGCCGAGTACGACGGGTTACCTTGGCATTTGGAATTCCTAGCTTGGGTCAGCCTTGTATCACTTGTGAGCCTGCTTGATGAGACCTACTCGTATAATTTGCAGGTAAAAGGCCTGTCCCTATTGTTATAGCCGTCGGGACACGGAGTTAAAATGACCGAGGAAGCCCAAGGGTTGTCCCTACAATGTATCAGCAAATGTACATGGTGGAGTCTGGTGCGCTTACTCCCTGATTACCCTACAGCCACTATCGCCCTGGTGGCAGGAGTAGGCGACACTTCTGCTACCTTGGTAATCGGGTTGTTCAAATAGAGCAAGCTAAACGGATATCAGCGAGTTGATCAAAGGGACTATGATGCGCCATACCAAGTACACGTCTGCGGCGCGAGTGTCTGCGGTGCCGATGTCTGCGGTGCTGATGTCGGAGTGGCGCTCAGAACGAGCATCAACTCCAGCGACGTGAGCATCCTTATCCAAGAAGCACTGCATGGACCTAATCGTCTCCTGTTCATCATGGTCAGTAAAGGAACGCTTCTTTCACGACGTCCAGACTCATTGGTACTCACATCGAATCTCGGCGTCGACTTTGTGAGATCGTCGATAGACGTGCGCGTCAAAAGAAACCTAGAAGTATAGTCGCAGGTCGGTGTGCTAGCTAACGTTACTCTCGTACCGCAGATGAGCTTGCTCGATAAGACCTACGAGAAGAAGAAACATGCGAATGTCTTGTTCCCAACTGGTGAGCCGTGGGGGCATGTTTGTAGAGTGAGCGAAGAAGCCCATGGCTTAGAGCTTGAATATGTTAGTCATGGTGAAGTGGACTGACTTGGTGCACTCACGCGCCGTCTGCGAGGCAACCATTCATTCCTGTAGCGCATAGGTAGGCTTTAGCTCGCCTGCCTTGCTTGTGGGGTCCTTCGTAGAGGTGTACCTAGATGGAAGTTAGAGAAGATGAGTAAGAGGTAGTGGTGTGCACGTACAGCAGCCGGAAAAGGATTAATATCTGCAGTGCTGACGTCGGTAGCCTCGGAGATACCGTCGAGCTTGACGCGGGACGCGCTCGCGAACATTTCCTGAGGCATGATCACTTCGCTGCCGTCGATGACCATAGGCTCATCGCCGACCTCGATCACGGTGCCATCGGTCTTTTGCAAAGTGAAGCCAGCTGCAACCGAAAGCAGCGTGAGAAAGAGGATGAGGAGACGCATGGCAGATGAGAGATTGCTGTAGGAGGGGGAAGTGATAAGCGGAATCGGGAAGGAGTTGATTTGACTTGTTGGTGGAGGAAGAAGTAAGAGGTAAGGGTCGCAACGGGAGCGTAGCTTTATGTATTGGGAAGAGAGAAAGGAAAGGCAGGCTAAATCCAGAGTTACCAAGTGAGTGGCCGTTTGCCAACATTCCGATCGTTAGTGAAGCCGAGGCCTATGTCTGGCTTCTGTGTCACGTATGAGAAGTCAGTCGATTGCACGTGCTTTCGCGCAAACGACGCCGCGAGAAAGCTGGTTAACAACACATGTTGGCCTTCCGCTTTCACTTATCAGTGATTATTCTAGAGGCTCGTGATGTGAGGCAATGAATCAATGTGATCATTTGAGGTTAGGAACTGCTGAGACAGGCCTCCGCTAGCCCTCCCAGGTACTCCATCAGCTGTTCGTGACACTCAGCTTTTCTCCCTTTTGGCCTACTACGGCGAAGGAAGCTAAACCTCATCCTACGAGCGTGTCCCCTTCGTAAACTGAGTCGCATATTGATTCAACATCACCTGAACGGCCCGTCTACACGCAGCCCTGCCTTCACCTCAAATCCGAAGTCGTACGAAGACGCGACACCTGGTGGCCTTACCAAATGTGTGCTCCATGAAGACGTTTGGAGAAATGACACCTAGCGCATCAAACAACAGTTGTGGCGATTCCTAGGTAGTCTGAGTATAGAGAGTGCGTCTGGTCAGTGTTGAAGGTCAGAGGATGGCATCGGGTGCTCATACGACAACCCCGCGGGTGATCGGCGCTAAGGCCTCTGAACTCTCATTGGCTCCCGCCATTGCCCACAAGTAGGCAGCGACTACCACCAGAGAACCCCGCGCCTCGTAGCCTTCGCCCTAGACCTGCCACAATGCATCAATCAAGTGTTGGCAATCTGCTTAACCTACTCCCTCGACCTCCATGGACGCAGCCACTCAATTGGGATCTAGGAATGAACTGGGGTGGCGAAAAACGCGTCTTCTTCCCTGCGTACGTAAGGCACCGTGACGGCAAAAATACATCGCAACCATCGCCTACCGGGTTCTCTTCATTCCAAAGGCTTCCCACCGAACTTCAGCTCCGTATCCTCTCATGTTGTTCGATACCAACCCTTTGGCAGCTCATGCGAACGTCATCCATGCTACGCATCGAGTCATCAAAGCTGTTCTGGGGACATGCCGACGCGTCTTTCCTCCTGGATAGTAGTTGGATTATCACAGGCGGTTATCCTAGTTCTACTTGCTTCGACCTTACGTTCCTTGCATATGTACAGAACGTAGAGATTGAGTACCGCTGCCTGCACCACTGGCTATGGCCGGAACGAGAAGTAAAGGAACTATTCCGCCCAGAAGACGTGCAACAAGATGCTGTGGCTAAATTTTGGTCTACATTGAGGAAGAGATGCCCGGCAGCTAAGAGAGTAGTGTTCAATCAGAATTTGAGGCTCTGCAACATCATGGAGGAAGTCGAGAGTGTGCCACTATGTCTGGAGGTATTGTTACGAGCTTCCCCAGAAGAAATCGTTGCTGAGGCGGTAATCATGCAGACGCGAGGCAAAGGTGAAACTAATTGGAAAAACGACTTGTACAGCTATAGGGAGAAACCGCAGTGGAGAACTTCATACTTTCGGCCTCTTGGAGATGGAAGCTGGGAACATCTTGAGGCGAAAACGCGTAATAACACAGTACTAGTACCCGGAAGGCCATTTCGCGGTCTAGTCGGGCAGTTTCAGAAAGACAGCTTTGTTTCGGATAGGATCGTCCTCCAGGAACGCGCGCTTTTGCCTCTCTTCATAGAAGCCTTGGACCGACACCACTTCGACAAGGGGAAAAGCAATGCTTTCGAATGCCCTAAGCCCGAATGCTCGGTGAGATTTACAAAGGCTGGTGAATGGACAATACATGCCGCGACTACGTCACATGGCTGCGCTCGAGCAGAGAATGGTTGCTTTGATATACTGCCTACAGAACTGCGAGGAGAGTTCGAGGACAGATACAAAATGGTGAAGCTGAAGGGGCAGGAATTGGAAGATGTCTACACAAAGATCTACAAAGATTGGAACGAAGAAGGTGGAGAGAAGAGAAAAAGAATGGAACAAGAATTATTTCAACAACTGGAGAACGATCCAGATTGGGCGACAGGCGAGCCGGCGACAGAACATGGAATCTGGAGGGTCTTCACAAGGTGGATGGACCCGACCTGGGATGGAGAAACGTGAAAAGGATTTGCGACCTAGCTGGGAGTGTATAATGGCATGTCAAGGACACTAGACCGGTCACGGCTCGGTAGTTTGAGATTGTCGCATGCCGGTAGTCGGAAGATGGAGTGATCTGTAGACACTAGATCGTTTGGAGTTTTACGGGCGCGACGTATGCTTGATCAGGATCAGTAATGCTATCAAATGCCCAAGTCGCGGTAGAGCCGGCTCGGTTTGTTCGCTTCCGTACAGTGTCTTTGGTACCAACTCGACCATGAGTTCGAGATCAGGTGCATCGGCAAATCGTCAAGAGCTGAACGATCCGGTAATGTGTTTACTCAACAGGCTACGGATATCACCCTACTCCACCTCCGATGGGTCCAGCGCGTGCACTGAGAAGCTCAGTCGGACACCGACTTTGCCATGTCGAACTATCGGACCGTGAAAATTTCTCGCTCATCATGTACGCTACTGGGCGTGTCGATATGCAAATTTTGAGCCTCATCCTACCCACAACGCGTCTCGAAGCACGCGTGGGCCATTCGGAGCTGTCGGAGCATCCGGAAACGGAAAGCCGACCGCCACTATAACGTGTTTTCGCGTGGCAGACAGTCTGGAAGTCAGCAAGTTGCAGGCCCCACGTGCAAATGTCGGGGCAGGTCGGAGGTGGATCGAGAAATCGATAGTGGAGATTCCGCGGAGGAGTGAATCGTGCACTAGCAGCCACTAGGTGTCTATTAGAGTTTTAAGTAGTAATTTTAATATATATCCTATAAAAGTAATTTATTAGTAAACTAATAATTCTATAGTATAAGCTAGTTTAAAAAGAGTAAGGTCTATTGCTAGTACATAAAAAAACGTATTTCTAAAAAGGTTAAAATTCTATAAAAGTATAAGCTTTAAGTAGACTAAGGCTTAGATTCTTAGCGCTGCTACCTCTAGTATAATTAAAGCTTTTAAAATTTAGAGTAGTAAAGTAACTATTTTATAAATACTAACGTTTACTTATACTATAGTAGAAAGAATTATAATATAATTATATATTTTTAATAGCTTATAACTAACTAAGCTATAAATTATAAAGTAATAAAATACTAAAATCTTAGCTTATAAAATTATGCTTTTGTATATATACTCTTTATTCTTTACTTCTATTCTTATTTTATATTAGTAGCTCTTTAAGCTATAAGTGTTACTACTTAAGATTTAGATTTCTACTTAATAATTCTTATTTTATAGCTTATAGTAAAATTAGAAATTTAAAGACTTATTAAAAATATAAATAGTAGCTTAAATCTAATACTAAAAGCTATACTAATACGTATATTAAATAAGCTCTTAACTATATTCTTACTTTCTTTTATAAGTTTTTTTAGTGTTAGTAAGTCTAAAGCTAATCTTATTACTAGTTATATTATCTTACTATCTTACTAAACTTAATTAAGTCTTTTATTATTACTATATTAATTATTTTCTTCTTAAACGCGTTACTATTACTTTATAAGTCTTCTTAAAGTTATTATTTTAAAAGCTATTATAAAGGCTATTATAAACTACTATATTTATACTATACTAAATACTATTATAAGCGCTCTAAAGAGCTACTTTACTAGTACTTTAGAGCTATACGCTAGGCCTATTAATATTTCTATTACTTCTATTTCTATTATTTTTATTTCTAATATTTTTATTTTTATTATTTCTATTATTTCTATTACGTATATAGCTAGCGCAAGACCTTTTATTATTCTTTTTTCTAGCTTTACTTTTAAGAAGCTTATTAGTAAAATATATAAGCTCTTTAGTAGTTATAGTTTTTTACTTATAAAAAAGAAAAACTAGAAAAACTATTCTATTAAAGACTATTTTATTAATAATCTTACTAATAAGATACTACTAATTATCTACTATATTATTATTTATAACTAGGTATATAAAGTAAAAGAAATAATAAATCTACTTCTTTTTTTAGCTTTATAAAAAGCTATACTCTTATAAAGAAATACTTTAGCTAGAATACTTTATAAAAGTAAAAAGAGCTAAAATAGTAAGAATATAGTATTTATAAGTTACCTTATATAGTAAGATACTATTTATTAGATAGTAGCTATAATAAACTACTATAACTTTTATTAAGACCTAGGCTATAAAATAGTTATTATATTATAGTTATTAGCTAGTTAGAGAATAGATACTATAAGGCTTAGTAAGTACTAGTATTTCTATTACTACTATGTTGTCTTACTAAGTAATTAGTATAATATATAGTTCTTAACTACTACGTAAAGAGAGTATATAAATATATATAGTTATAGTTAAGTATTAGTACTAATAGTAATATATACTAAATATCTTAAAATCTTAAAATCTTCTAGCTATTCTAAGATAGTAGCTAGGCGTCTTTTAATATCTTTTTACTAAATAGAGTTTATAAAATTAGGTATAAGGCACTACTTATAAAAGTAAAAGTAGTAGAACTATAAGTATAAATTTTATAATACTATAGTTACTTATTTTTAAAAGTAGAAATTTTATATAAGCTACGCTTAACTTCTTTTTATTACTATAAATTTCTACTAATATTATTATATTTACTATTTACTATAAATTAAATACTTTTTACTTTTTTAGCTTATTTTAACTATAATAAGTTTAGTAATATAATTATAATTAAAAATAATTTTAGCTTATATTACTAACTTATATTAGATATAATTTTTTAGTTAAAAGTGTAGTATAGCTAATACTAATTAAGTATTAAAGTAATTAC